AGATTGGAGTTGTAAGAGATGTTATTCAATGTCTTATTATTCATGGTATGATAGATTATTTCTGGCAATGTAGAGTTTAATCTCATTATTTTATTGTTCATGATTCAGAGAAGCATAGTTATGACGTCGCAGATAATACGCACACATAATTCATTATATGAGAGATTTTCTAAGCGTTCCTATAAGAGATTAAGTGTAAACATTTATGAATTATAAAAAAGTTATTTATCTGAGTTTTATGAGTTTACAAATGACAAAGAGAGAGAGAGAGAGTAGATAATAGAGAATATATTGTATACTTATGAGAGCTCATTATTGTTTTCAGAACTCCATACTTCCTTGTGTTTGGGAACAAATGGTGTTGGGAGACCTCCCACAATAGACTTGTTCTTTGACCTGTGAACCACCACCCATTTTGTGTTCTTATCATTTAATGTAAAATGGCTTTTGTTACAATTTATGACTCCTGGTAGCAAAATTGCTACATCAGTTCAACTCCTATTAATTTGAAATAATCATTTCCGAGAATCTCTAAAGAAAACTAAATCTGACAGAATAACAACAATCTTCCATTGTTTTGCAGGACAATGTCAAACAATTTGATGTCAAGAATGAATGTTGATGGGCAAAACGGCAAGTTTTCTTTTAAGACTACAAGGTTGTATTCAATCATCTCTGGTAAGTTAATTACCAAGTGCAGCATTTTCATCATGACCATAGCAAATAATATATGACAGTAAAGCATCGTCTAATTCATCCTACCGGTAATTCATAGTCTAATTAAATAATCAACTTGCAATTGAGGATTTTCTTTGAAAATGTTTAAGAAAACTTCCATTCCTTTCGGTTGAAAATATAAATTGTTTTACACTTTTCGTCATATTTTGTATTGATGCTGTTCATATGTTCACATGCCAAGTTACAGCAGTGAAATGAACCTTTCAAGTGATTGATTAAACAAATACTTGAATCATTTAAGACAATATATCTTCCATATAACTTATTCATGTATTTAAATATAAAATTTCAGAATGTGTCCTATCTCAAGGGAATGAGATGGGAATGCATCCGAAGCAAATTTCAAGAAAGAGTTAGGAACGTTTCTGAAGTATCCACCTGACCGCCAGGCAGGGAGTGGCAGAGAGAAGAGGAGCTGATAATTGTGTTTTTGGAGTTGTAATTGTGTTGAAAAATCTGAACTGTGGTATTGAAATTGGTGGCGTAAATGTCACTTTGATGCTATATGCCGATGATATTGTGTTATTAGCACAACAGAGATCACCTACAGACTATGTCATGTGTGATGTTTTACATTATGCATTAAACCACGTTTTCTGTGTGCGTGTGTGTTCATAAAGATTTCATGAAAAGTGACTTGTTTTATGTGCTGTCTTCAGGTATAGTTCCTGGTCATCTTGGATCCCTTTCATGGTGAAAGTAATTGCATTGTGTTTATTCAGGGGTCTGTCTAAGAGCTGAAATTCAGACAAAATGTCTTCTCGGGACAATTTTCACCTTTTCAAGGTAACAATACAACAGTAAATAGTTTTTCTTAATTTGGAATACTCTTTTCTTCTTACTGGAATTATACGTCTAACTGACATAAAACTTAAATGAACATTATATTGAATGTGGAATTTTAATCAAGTATTTTATCAGGTAAATATTTTTACTGCAATTTTCTGTTTGAACACTGTTTATTGCAGGTAGCTTTTTGGGTATTTTAGCTGGATGCAGGAGTTTGGTGCTACTTTATTGTAGTTTAAAGATGAAATGCGAGTCTATTTACAGGAAAGCGTAATACCTCCCAGACACAACCACGGAACAACCCATTTTCAACGTTAATAATATGTCAGACTTCAACATTGATTCCACGTCGGATATCTACGTCAAAAAAACTTTCATATACAACCTATTTTCAATCTATTTTCAACGTTGAGGATCAACCTATTCTCACCGTTGATAATCGGTCAAACTTCAACGTTGATTCCACGTCGGATATCTACGTCAAAAAAACTTTCATATACAACCTATTTTCAATCTATTTTCAACATTGAGGATCAGCCTATTCTCAACGTTGAAACAACGTTGATGTGCCTGCTGGGATGTCTGCCCTGTGATGGTTTACTGCAAATTCCAATTTGGGGTAATAAAGTTGTTGTTGTTGTTTTCTTCTCCTCCTCCTCCTCCTAACGGAAACTCACAATTATTTTGATTTAAATTTTGGGACAATATTTTGCCAAATAATCCATTGTCACCTAAAACTCGTCTGTCGTGATGTAAACGTAGACAGATATAATCGACTTATATCCTAGAGTTCATGTGGTCATTATAACGAAGACGTTATTCACTACCATTTTACATGTCGGAACTATCAAAATTTGAGAACAACTGTGTATGTTTATATTCAAGGATATGATGTTAAAACTACTTTATACGGTAACGTCGCATTTAATAACTCAACTAATATTGACATTCTCAACTCATTACACCAGTCCATTTCTTAAAGGGGACGGTGGGGTAGCTTCATGGTTACAGCGTCCCCTCTTCACGCTGAAAACCCGGGTTTGATTCCCCACATGGGTACCGTAAGATAGAGCTGTAATTGACGACTTACATTGTGTCATTTGTCAATCATGAAAGTTGAGCATTTGAACTAACATGACTATCTAATACATGATTCCTGTATTCAATAAGAAACAAAACATCTGTATAATTATTTGTGTTTGCAACTTTTTCAAAGCTACATTACTAATAGGTACAGTATACCCTGGTTATAATGCCACCGTTTGTCCAGGAGAAGACATGGCATATCCAGGGTGGCATTATAACCAGGTAGGACAGTTAGAGGCCCTATGCAATCAACAAGGTGATTGAGCTGATGTCTTCTGAAATGAACCAGATAACATATTTCAACAGACCCATGGGACTCTCCCCCCTCATCACCGAGATCTACATGACCCATCTAGAAGAGACAGCCCTTGTAATACAAACCAATAAAAGCGATTTTAATCTATGATAGCTGGTTAAACAACTTTTATCCTAAGATGAACAAAATTCTGAGATTTAAATGTTCAGTTGGCAAGGTATAATTATGAGGATTCGCAATCTTAATTTCACTATATTTGATTTTCCTTTTTACTTAAAGTGAAATTCATTGGTACGTTTTCACTGCAAACAGACTATAATCTCTTATACAAGCTTTGTACATCAACCTCATCTATTGTATATACAGCACATGTATTTATCCTCTCAACATTTTACTCATGTGTCACTCGTTCGAAAACGACATTAGAATCTATATCGAAACGTCGCCTTCCACAAAACAAAGAAGTTGTATAGCCATAATATTAACATCATTCTTCATCACCTCAACTTCTAAAATATGCCCATCAAAGAAGACAAGCTATATATAATGTACTAAGCATTTCCGGGGCATGTTTCTGCCGATAGGTACAGGATCCTGCACGTAACACTAACGTTTATTCTCTTTGTAATTTGACAGAAACAGATACCTAACTCCATTTAAACTGAAAATGAGCCCAAGTGTTCGGCTCTCAGATGGCGATTTCTGGCGATCTTGCGGACTGGTTTTGGAGATTTTACGTCCGCTTTCCGACATTTTTAGGAAATTTAATTAAAGATCGTTACGAGATTAAATAAAATATATTATATAAAACCGATGAAATTAAATCTTTAACATTGGGTTTACAGCAATACAATATACTTCTACATATGCACTAGACAGATGGATACCAGGCGCTATACAAGTGAATTATTATTATTATTATTACTTCGGTGATATTAAGTACCACTGGAATCAAACAAAGAGGTGCTACGCAAATCTGAAATCCTTCCAGAGGGGCACGAGTCGCTCGCTATTCGGCTTGTCCCAGAATAGCACGAGTTGGTCACGAATGTATAAGTGGGTCACTTCCGATACGAAACTTTTGAGCGAATTGGTTCAGGGTATTTTGCATTTAACCATTTATCTGTGACATAAAAAAACCTATGTCATACCGCATTTACGTAAGTATGCATATTAAATTTAGTGAGGGTTTTTCGCTGTTGCACTCTAAAACTAAACATTTGTGAAATTGTACCAGACATTACTATATTACCATATTACCCCTGGACAACGAGTACAGAACACTCCCTGTGGAGAATACAACCGGTGCATCATTTAACTGCTGGTGGACGGCGGCATTTTATAACAAACTTACTTGCCTAAGGTGAGACCACATGTATCGCATGTGATTATTCAGTTTTGAACTCTTAGCGCTAAGATAGTCGCAAGTGCCATACATTAACATTAACTTACGACTATCTTAGCGCTAAGAGAGTTTCGAAAATCTGGGCCCAGAACTGAAGTCCTAAAAACCCTCAGTACTCAAGCTGCCAAACATGGTCACCCAATAACACAGAATTTGTTGCATTTTACCATAGTTTCAATTATTCTGCATAATTCTGTTAGAGTATTTGTTTTCAAAACCAAATAAATATGCCCAAAAGGCGTTAACAGGTTGTTTGTATCGGTTCACAATGGTAAACATTGTACACAAACGAAATACACGTAAGATTTCGAATGGTATATATTCCCAAATGACAATGAATCTTCTATTTATCAACATGAAATACTGATAATATGCACTGGATTAGCGAAGATGATCTATCATATCAAAGTATTACAACACGCTATACGCATTCGCAAAGATATCTCCGTACCGGAAATGACGTGATGACCTTGTCATTTTTAGTGACATATTCAGCACAGAATATTTCTCGCTTATTGATTTGTTTGGAAGGCTGTTTTGGGTTTCGTGACAATGGGAGGTGACACAGTGGAACCGATGGTGGCGTTTTGTGGGATTTGTTGGCCCAGAAATATATTAGTTGTATAAAGTGGGCTAGTAAGCATTCTTGACCATAATCCTGTGATTGACAACCTCAATAATTAATGACTATATGAATACTAATGTCTGACACTATTGGTTATTTAGTTACCTTGACAACGTAGATACAATGTGCTACCGGAAGCTGCGCATGGGCAAACTTGGAGATGGAGGCTGGGAGATCTGTGACGATGCCAACTACCGACCAGTAAAGCCCTGTATCGTGTACTCGTTTGGGTGAGTAGTCAGCTGACTGGAATACCTATTAGTCTAAGATACAGACGCCGAATACAGTCCAGTAAAGCCCTGTATCCTGTACTCGTTTGGGTGAGTAGTCAGCTGACTGGAATACCTATTAGTCTAAGACACAGACGCCGAATACATTCCAGTAAAGCCCTGTATCGTGTACACCTTTGGGTGAGTAGTCAACTGACTAGAATACGTATTAGTCTAAGACACAGAAGCCGAATACAGTCCAGTAAAGCCCTGTATCGTGTACTCGTTTGGGTGAGTGGTCAACTGATTGGAATTCCTATTAGTCTAAGACACAGACGCCGAATACAGTCCAGTAAAGCCCTGTATCGTGTACTAGTTTGGGTGAGTAGTCAACTGACCGGAATACCTATTAGTCTAAGACACAGACGCCGAATACAGTCCAGTAAAGCCCTGTATCGTGTACTCGTTTGGGCGAGTAGTCAACTGACTGGAATACGTATTAGTCTAAGACACAGACGCCGAATACAATCCAGTAAAGCCCTGCATCGTGTACTCGTTTGGGTGAGTAGTCAACTGACTGGAATACGTATTAATCTAAGACACAGACGCCGAATACAGTCCAGTAAAGCCCTGTATCGTGTACTCGTTTGGGTGAGTAGTCGACTGACTGGAATACGTATTTGTCTAAGACACAGACGCCGAATACAATCCAGTAAAGCCTTGTATCGTGTATTCGTTTGGGTGAGTAGTCAACTGATTGGAATACCTATTAGTCTAAGACACAGAAGCCGAATACAGTCCAGTAAAGCCCTGTATCGTGTACTCGTTTGGGTGAGTAGTCAACTGACTGGAATACGTATTTGTCTAAGACACAGACGCCGAATACAGTCCAGTAAAGCCCTGTATCGTGTACTCGTTTGGGTGAGTAGTCAACTGACTGGAATACCTATTAGTCTAAGACACAGACGCCGAATACAGTCCAGTAAAGCCCTGTATCGTGTACTCGTTTGGGTGAGTAGTCAACTGACTGGAATACGTATTAGTCTAAGACACAGACGCCGAATACAGTCCAGTAAAGCCTTGTATCGTGTACTCGTTTGGGTGAGTAGTCAACTGACTGGAATACCTATTAGTCTAAGACACAGACGCCGAATACAGTCCAGTAAAGCTCTGTATCGTGTACTCGTTTGGGTGAGTAGTCAACTGACTGGAATACGTTTTTGTCTAAGACACACGCCGAATACAGTCCAGTAAAGCCCTGTATCGTGTACTCGTTTGGGTGAGTAGTCAACTGACTGGAATACGTATTAGTCTAAGACACAGACGCCGAATACAGTCCAGTAAAGCCTTGTATCGTGTACTCGTTTGGGTGAGAAGTCAACTGACTGGAATACCTATCAGTCTAAGACACAGACGCCGAATACAGTCCAGTAAAGCCCTGTATCGTGTACTCGTTTGGGTGAGTAGTCAACTGACTGGAATACGTATTAGTCTAAGACACAGACGCCAAAGTACAAAGACACCACATCATCCATTTCGGGATTTCATCATCCATAAAATAAATTCTATTTCGGGCATCAGAGTATTATTTTAATGATGCATGCGAGGTAATGAGGAAACTCGAATTTGAATGTGGAGCATTAACGAATGAATGTTTTTCAAATGGCCTCAAATATTCAGTTATACCGTGTTGGCCTTTTTCAGATCTGTGTTGTGATTGTGTCAAGGGTCCGTGCATCCTTCGCTTTCATTAGGCTGTCAACAAGATGTACCTACCCAATAAAAAAATAAAAGATTTTACGGATATTACGCGAAACTGCTGTGGCAATGTTTCTTCATGAATATACTATGCCATTTAGAAAGTGGTCAATTGGAGCATCAGTAATGATGTTTTTTCTATTAATACAGAATCAACAACGATTTTTCTTTTGACGATGACACGGCCAAACACTATGAGTGTGATGTCTCTTCCTTTGATCCGAGGTTTGTATATACGCTTGTTAATCTCTGCTGGTACATTATGTACTGGTTCGTTCGTTTTTGTTCGTTTGTTCTTTCTTTCCTTTGTTCCTTCATTCGTTTGATGTTTCTTACATGGGTACAATGATATTGCTGGAATATTGCTAAAAGCGGAGTGAAATTATATTCACGTATTATCTGTCGAAGGAGGTGCCAAAACAAGAATTCCACAACATTCTTTTACCTATGTTCGTCACATTCAGCGTACAGTATTGGGGTGTGTTGTTTTGTGTTGTTATTTTGTTTTTTGTTTTTGTTTGTGGGTGTGGGGTTATTTTGGCGAAAACTGGAGATCCAACGATTTGGATAGGTGACAATCATATGCGGTTCGAACTTTCTTTCTTAGCCAGAAACTGCTGAGGAAAGACAACAAAACAACCACTGAAACAACAAAAAATGTTGTTTGATTGCGGCGTAAAACTATACCCACTTGAAATCTGTCGAAGGAGGCGCCAAAACAAGAATCCCGCAACAGATTTTCTCCTTCGTACGTTAGGCACATTTTGACAACTAACTGGGGATAGCACGATCTGGATCGGTGCCAAACAATAATATGCGGTTGTAGCTTTCTATTGAATGAAAAATGCTGACAGAAAAGTTACAAAACAGCCACTAAATCAAAGAAAAAAATATTGCTTGATTGTCATGCTGATTGTTCAGAATGTAACCATACATTAAAATATCAGATTAGAACATCTGAAAGGTGCAGGTATATAATTTCCATGTACCCTGCTCACGTGCGGGGAACAAATCGCAGCGCAGCTTGGGTAATTTGTTTATCTCAAATACGTATCGTTGGGTTTCTGGATTAACCGATGTTCTTCGAATGCGTTGGGTACATGGAGGTACGTTCGGTTCGTTCTGCTACTTGTTTTCTTAACGCAATGAATATGCGGACGTATGTTTGGAACTGAGAGAAAGAATGTCAGTAAAATTAATTCGTGTTCATCCGATCAATGAGCGCCTATGTGATGTACCATGTGTGTACCAGAATGTACCCTTTTGTACCCTGAGCCGTAAGGCTCGATACCTCACACCACACACACAAACGGGTCGGATGACATAGGTACGTGTACATCACACGCACCAACAAATATTACGAATAACATACCTGACTTGCGGAGAGTTTACCATTTGTGTGTATCAATCATTATTGGTGATATTTGGACAAACTGTGTCATAAACATCGTCTATTATCGTTGATTCTGTATTATAGTAATAATAGTGATAATAATCATATTTCAGTATGACCGAGGCATCCTACCAGAGGTCGCCACGTGTCCGGTTTTTTAAATCAGGCCTTGACGGAAAGGATTATAAGAAGAACTCCTGGGAGTTACAGACATTGACGACCATCAAGAAAATGTTGAACCACACCGGGGTCAGTGACATTTTGAATAATCTGAAATATCTTTTGCAAATATTCGGAAATTAGCTCCCCATGAACTAGGAATCTTCACATACTCTATACTATGTGTCATTTAGAAAGTGGTCAAACGTAACAAGTGTTAAAGTTGGGGGCGTTAATTTGTTGGGGATGGGTCCGATCTGCGCTTCGAAACCACGTTCACAGAGTTAGACACCAGATCGCCAAAGGAAATCAGCGATCTAACCCCCTCAGCCATCGTAGCCCCCCACAGCTGGGATTCTTCATCACGTACTTCCGGCTGGGTCCACTCAGGTTCCAGAGTTGGAAGTTGATTTTAATGTCTCAACACAGGTCATTTTCGCGACATTAGAATCACTAAATCATAATTAAATAATCGGCAAATGGGGCCTCGATTTGAATGATCTATTGGTCAGTTTAAGAGCCGCATGCAGAAACATCCCAGCTATATGATGGCGGTCAGTAAATAATCGAGCCTGGGTCAGACAATCCAGTGATTAGCACGCCATCAGGATACGATGACCTGTACTAACAAGCAACCCATTTGGTCACCTCGTTAGTGTAAGTCACTAGGACCTGCACTCTTAATCACAAAAGGTTCCTTGGTCCCTTTGATGGTGTAAAGAAACGGCTTTGATCCTACAGGCAATCAACAATTATCAAAACTGAATTCTATCGAACATGTTATATTTGGAATTACACTTTCTCTGCAACGTACAGATCTGAGTACATTTGAACCAACATATTCACAAAGTAACGGTCTAACCCACTCAGAACCTCCACAAAATGGAAGTTAACATCACTTACGTTGTGATTACCGTGTGACTTGTTGTTACCCTAACTCGCGCTCAGAAAAATGGAGTGTGTGTGAGTTTAGTTTTACGCCGCACTCAGCAATATTCCAGCTGTATGGCGGCATTCTTTAAGTAATCGGGTCTGGACCAGACAATCCAGTTATCAACAGAACGAACATAGATCTACTCAATTGGGATACGATGACACGTGTCAACACAGTCAGCAAGTCTGACCACCCGATCCCGTTAGTCGCCTCTTACTGCAAAAAGGGACAAATTAAGGGTTAATCGACACCCTGCCGAACTGCTCTTTAATTTGGCTACACTACCAAGCAGACACACGTCAGCACTAGTACAACAAGACCCAACTATACATAAATGACAACACAACACAACACAACACAACACAACAAACCTTATTGGTGTAGAGATGGGTAAATAGAAGAAAAAGGCGGCCATTTTGGTTTATTTTATTACGCACCTGGTGTGTGATTCTATCCCATCTCAACAACATCTTCAGTTTATTCCTTAGTATTCGGGGCAGGTGGGGTAGCCTAGTGGTTAAAGTGTCCTCTTATCACCTTGAAAACCCGGGTTCGATTCCCCACATGGGTACAAAGTGCGAAACAAATTCCTGGTGTCCCCCCGCCATCATATTGCTGGAATATTGCTGATGGCGGCGCAAAACTAAACTCACTCACTCACTGCTTTGCTGTTCCTGATATTGTCAAGAAATTTGTAAGGATGTCGTTTAATACATTAAAGCCTCTCTGTTTGTTTTCCAGAAATACATTGATGTCTTGAAGATGGACATCGAAACTTCAGAATGGCCGTCACTAGCCAACATGGTGTCATCAGGGGAACTGTCGAAAGTCAGACAGTTTCTCGTGGAATACCACGGATTTTGTGACAAGAGGGATGACTGCATCAGCAAACTGAAAATATTGAAAGACGTCCATGACCAGGATTCAGGAAGTTCCATGTCCACAAAAATGATAACTGTGGATTTCATAATCAGTTATTTCCTGTCATAAGGACAGCTTGCTATGAGATTCATTACGTGAATATCAAGCTTCAGTGAAGTCATTGTTTAGTGAGTGAGTGAGTTTAGTCTTACACGGCTTGTTACAATATTCCAGCAACATCGCGGCGCCCATGTTTAGTAATTTTCCCACCACTTCAGTTTGCGCCAGTTCAAGATCGTTAGTATCGTTGTCTCGGTAGGTAGTTTAGGTGGTGAACAAGGGACGGAATACGGAAGTCGAGGAATTTATAACGACAGCAGCCATGTTTATTATAGTTGGGGGAAATGGGTTCAAAATGGTAGAAGTTGATAGATATCACGTGACAGATCTCACACCGGGACCGAGTGGCCAATGTTCCCAGGGATATCCGCTCTGTCACCAACACACATGCAGAAGTCAGACGGCAATTCTTCATCGTCGACGTAGTCGGTGGTGAGACGATGGCCTTAGCCGAAGCCCCGACTAGCCGCACAATCCGTACACTTCTATCGATGATCTGGGCCCGTCTCCTAGACTAATCAGTCAGGTTTTATAGATGGGGCCATTACCCATGTGGTACAAGGCCACTGACCTATGTACATAAGTAAGATCTGCCAAAATGTATGGGACATGGTGGACTAGCTGTCTAAGGCGCCAGGCTAGTGATTCAGCGAGCTTAAGGTGAAGGGATCGAGCCCACCTGTGACCGGGTGTAAAAATCTTGTAGTCAACTGTTACTTTGTGTGCAGACTCTGTCAGTGTTGTCACAACCACTAGTGTACAGTACACAATCCTGTACACTTAAAAGAACCCACGAATCCGTTGGTATATGACCAGATGGTGGTCACATGAATACGAACAAACACCTAGTTGCGGGTACAGCAACGTGCAGTAAACTTGGACAAAGTACTGTGACTATGTGTCCCAGTCCACCTAGCTGTGAATGGGTACCTCGAAAGGATGAGAAAGCCACATTAACTTGATGCGCCTTGTCGCTGCAAGAGTTGTATACTTCCCAGGGAGTTGAGATTGACATCCTATGATCAAGCGGAAAAAACAAAAGCACGTGTGAGGAGCCTATCTGCAAATCAGCGCTATATAAATAGATTATAATAATTAATTGACATTTACTGATAGCATTGAGAATTAAGGGTCCTGTCCGGAGTGAGGTTTTATGATAAGAGGGAATACATCGTATGTTTAAATGTACGTTGGGCAAAAATTGAAGCAGTTCGATCGTTTGAATATATGTAGTTTTTAACGGTTTGCAGTATCACAACAGTATTGCAGTTTTGAATAAAGTATTATTAGACCAGACCAATTTTATTTTTTGTTTGACGGATCCGCCTGTCGTCTTTTCTCACGAATAAGAAAAACCATAAAAGTTAATTTTCCCTGCTCAAAAAATAACACCCTAATGTTTCATTGGTCAAACATGTAAATTAACAAGAAAAGTTTTTTTAAAAGATTGTCTTTTGCCCCATATACACTTCATAAATTGTCAACAGTAATATACATTTAATTTTTATTTTATTTTTTCCCCTCCTGCCTTTTTAGGTTTTCTGAGGACAAAAATCCGTAAAACAAGAAATAAAATCGGTCTGGCCTTATTGTTTTATTTTGAGTGGATGTGACCGGTAGGTAGGGCACACTAGACGGGGAGAGTCTGACAATCTTAACCAATATTATTTTCCTCCACTAGTACTTTCTGTAACGGCGGTATATGAGATGTTTTATTACAAGACGGGAGATAAATGGTTTAGAAATTTGGAGAATTTTTTCAGCACATGTATCCAATTATTCCCAAACACGATTTTGACGTTTTTTTATGGGCATTTTAGAAGTTGAGTTGATGAAGAATGATGATTAGATTTTATGGATATACAACTTCTTTATTCTGTGGAAGGCGACGTTTCGACGCAAGTGGCAACGACATTAGAATCTTTGTCGAAACTTCGCCTCCACAGAATAAAAGAAGTTGTATATCCATAAAAACTCGTCATCAAGTCAAAACATTGAATACACAACAGTCTCGTTTCCTGTTGACTGGGTTCCGTCCTATTGCGCAACTTAGTACAATAAGCAGTCCAGAATTTTAGACCAATCACCATTTAACTGGATACTTAAATTTTAATCAGTATTATTTGATATATCTAAGCACTTGTACATTAGCGACACTACGCCTTCTTATAATCCTTGCAAACATGTCTTGCAGCGTGCTCTGTCGTACTGCTTAACACTGACAAACGGAGACCTGGAAATAGTGGAAATCTCAAAACGAGGCTCTGCGTAGCTAGAAAGGTTTGGCGTTTGGTACGGACTTAGTATTATATCAATAACATTGTGCGTTTCAGAACTACACTGAATTAGCGCAAAACCCATTATTAGTGTAAACCCATGAGCCAGATACATTGTGAATCTTTTTACGACCTCATCAAACTTGGGCAGTCTGTGACGTCTTAGTTGAGGTCATGCTGCCTACACCTCGCCATAAAACATAGAAATAGGATGTTATTAAAGTTTAGAAATTAAAATTCATTTGTAAATACCATTTTCTTATATTCAGTGTAACCATAGTTGTTTGTGATGTCTATTTTCACTTCTCACGAGAAAATTCGGATTGGCTGAAAAGCAGGTCATTGTCTGAATAGGTTAATGAGACTCGTGTTTCGGTTTGTATTTATCACGATTTTGACATGCTGAGACATTTCTAGTAACACTCAGCCAAGCCTGTTAAATAATGTTTGTTTGTTTGTTTGTTGACTGGTGGTAGGTAGGTTGGTTGACACAGCACGCACTCAAATATTCCAGGTATATTCCAAGTTTCTGTAAATAATCGGGGCGGTGGTGAAAAGTTATTCGCCCGTCACGTCGAAGACCCGGGTTCGATTCCCACATGGGTTTACAATGTGTGAAGCCCATTTCTGGTGTCCCCTGCCGTGATATTGCTGGAATAATGTTAAAAGCGGCGTAAAACTACACTCACTCACTGATCAAAATAATCGGGTCTGGACCAGACGATCCAGTGAGCAACATCATGAGCATCAATCTATCGTAATCGGGATGCGATGATATTTGTTAAATGATAATCATCATTATGAAGTATTGTATATAATGTACAGAATCTCTGAGAAATGTTTTTCTACTTTTCATCACTTTTCAATTGGTTATTTGTGGTTGTTTGTTCTGAAATAAAAATAATGGTTTAGAAATGTTTTCTGTAAGTAGTAAATACATTTCCAAACGAAGTGGATCTTCAGTAAAGGGATAACATGAATTTGCAGAAGAATACTTAACATCGCTTCCCAATGGCTCCAAAACTTTATTCATTAAGATTAGAACTATTTCAAGTGGTTCTCAATTCATTCGAGAAATGATCTGGATTTTCAAAAGCATAGGAACACCACAATTTGGTAAAATAAATTCAATGTAATTTTAAACAGGATATAAATACATGACATTTACTAATCATATAATCGAGCATAAATGAGGCAGTTATATTGTTTGGGTGACCCACATGCTACTCTTTGTTCCAGTGTGCATATCAATTTATATTTGGTACTGTTATAAGCCCTCCCCGAAGACCATTCAGATGTGTGTTTGACTTTCCCTCGATCTGCTTTAGAAATTTCAGATGTACACATACACTAAAAGTCTTATTGAAGTTTAGAATTCCCTCTTTGAATTCCTCCTTCACTAGAGCTCCTTTTGATGTAATAATGTAATGTGTGTTGTTAGAAAAGTTATATTTTCTTTAGTCTTCTCAGTCGAGCTTTGCAGTGACAGCGTACCGACGAATTTCAATTTTAAGCCAAAATAGTAAATCAAATAAAGTGAAATTAAGATTGCGAATCTTCCTTATTTTATCACCTTGCCATGAACATTTAAATCTCAGATTTCTATTCAACTTAGGATAAAAGTTGTTTAACAAACGATCATAGTTTTAAATCGCTATTATTGCGTGTATTACAAGGGGACAAAAGCAGAAGTTGGAACAGAAACAAAATGCACGTGCGGGTAATGCGATGAGCGTTAACTTAGACCAACCCTGCTTTTTCTCGGTGTTTCATTTACCGTGCATGAAAGTGAAATCCATCGGTACGTTTTCACTGCATACAGACCATACACATTCTCACAGTTCGTCATGTCTTACAGACACAAACATACATTCGTAAGGAAATGTGCCTGTTTGTGTGTTATATCAATACACAACTGTTTCTATATTCTGGTACTCTTGATGTCTGGTCTCCTTTTCATGAACTGGTACGTACAGTTCAACACCGTTAAGGATGAGTAGAATGTCTTTTGAGACGAGCTCATGTTCAGGTCCACAGTAGTAGTATTCTCTCGGACGTGTCGATATATAATGGTGATATAATAATAGCGAGCCCATAGGTAGTCCATGTATTTGTTCATATATACCGTCACCCCATGTGAAGTAAGTGGAGTTGATGTAGGCTGAGGTGAGGGTGAGGTGAGGGGTGAGGTGAGGGTGAGGTGAGGTGAGGTGAGGGTGAGGTGAGGTGAGGTGGAGGTGAGGTGAGGTGAGGTGAGGAGGTGAGGTGAGGTGAGGTGAGGTGAGGTGAGGTGAGGTGAGGGAGGCAGGTGAGGTGAGGAGGTGAGGTGGGGTGGGGCGGGTGGGTGGGGGTGGGGTGGGTGGGGTGGGGTGGGAGGTGGGTGGAGGTGAAATTGGGTTTAACGTTGTGCTTGAGAATATTTCGCTCATATGACAACGTGCATGCGTGTATGTGTATGTGCGGCTGCTTGTACTAGCCCAGACTTAGGGCTGGTTTTATAGTGCTAGCCCACTGAGTTACCATGCCGCAGTGAAGAATGAATACCCCACTCAGACACATTTATACTGACTCCGAGCTGACCAGTCCTTGCTGTACCCATTAATGCCGAGCGCCAGGCAGGACCAACAAGTACCATATTTTAACGTCTTTTGGCATGTCGCGGTCAGGCTGAGGTGAGGCTAATGATTGAGTCTATGGTTGGCTGGTGTCAAGTGGCTGTCTGCTGGTTGAGTCGTTCTCTTTGGCTAAAAGGGCTCCTTCCA